CATTAAATTATCACACAGGCAAACTGATTGATCATCATCAACAAAAAAAAAAACAAAAAACAAACAAACAAACAAAAAAAAAAAACCCAGAAAAAAACCCACAGTTTTTCCTTATATTTACATTTTTACTTGATCCTTTATTCAATAAGAAAATGGTATTCTTATTCAAAATTTAGAAATCTAAGTCTGCAAGCCCCGCCTCATGTATTACACAGTTAATTACACACAGCGAGCAGCATACAGTTTTGTTACTTGCTGAGGAAATTGCTTTTTGAAGATGTAATGGTATTTTCTTATTTATAGCTTTACCTAAGAGAAGGAATTTGAAAACGTAAATATCCCCCTCTCTACATGTCACCATATTATTTGTATATTTGTTTTTAAAAAAGTTTTTTTTTTTTTTGCAAAACAAAATATTCACCTAATTAAATGCAAGGAAAACAAAGATTGATAATTCTAATTCGACTTCTTACAAAGAAACGCAAAAAATATAAACATGCAGGATATGAGAGGAAATGCGTTAAATTACCCAAAAAATTCCTTAACACAAAAAAGATTTGAAATAAAAAATAAATATTTCATTCCTTGGTCTTTGGTAATAGATGGATATCAAATTTATATAAAATCATACTTTGGATAGTCTCCCTGGTATCTTTATCCTTTATTTTATGAAACATAAAAAGGTGAAAACTTAGATAAGTAAGTGTGAACTCGAAATAAGTCTGCCACATATGTTTCATATTTGGAGTTTCACTGACTTAAGACGAAAATGAAAAACAGATAAACTGTATTTCAAACGAGAGAACTTCAACTTCTTGATCGTCAACTTTCCTGATCTATGTAGAAATATTCCAACATCACAAGCATATGGCGTTTATGTATCCAAACTGATTTGATACGCCACAATATGCATAGAGTAAGATCGGTTTTTAAACCGAAGTAGGCTTCTGACAAATAAGTTGATACTCGTAGCTTTAAAAATAATAAATAAAACAGGTTTATTATACCGTTTATTAAAAATAATCTATCGACTTGAAACGCTATAGCAATATGACATATATGGAGAAAACGAACAGTATTCAAGCTCAAATGTCCATTCAACAATACAAAATAGGAGCAGAGCAAACACGGAACTCCAAAACATCAGAGGTGGGATCAGCTGCCATGGAGGAGTGAGCATCCCCTGCCGACCGGCCACACCCGCCGTGTGCTCCTTTTCATGATCGGGAAATAACGGAAAAATCGGTCGATAATTCAGTGTGTAAATAATGGCCTAACAGTTAGTATGAAAAACGTCAGTCAGCATTTGACTCAATGATAAATTAAATTGTATTTGCTGACAAGGTCATTGTATCGACCATAGAACTTACGAAATGATGACTTTAAACAAGACTGCTGATATTCTTGTTTCATAATCTTGTTTGTCAATAATTTACCTCGTTTTAGAAATTGTACATGCGTAGAGCATGCTCTTGCGTATCGAATCAACTGAGAGATATAAACCCCGCATGCAGGTGAAAAAGGAATATTGCTGCACAAGTATGGGAAATATGAAACTCATGTGTCAGACTCTGTGGTATCTTTTATCTCAAGCTCACCGGGATATATCGTATCGACATATGAATGGAAATAACCATTGTTAATTGACAATACGTCGTCGATATATCTAAATGTCGAGTTAAAGGCCACAGCAAGTGTTTTTTTTTTCACGTATAAGATTTTGGACATATTCTGCTTCATATGAATACAAAAAAGGCCTGCTAATAACAAAGCGCAATTGGTACCAATGGGAATTCCAATAGATTGTTGGAAGACCTGGTCTCCAAAAAACACATAGATATTGTCAATCAGAAACTCAAGCATATTTTTAATGTCAACTTCAGAGTACTTGTGTGTACAATCAGAATGTTTTTTAACAAAATATTTTTGCAATTGACCAATGACGAGTTCCATTTTTATTGAAAAAAACAGCTGTCAGTGATATCAAAAAGCCTGGACTTTAATTTATCGTGGGGAATGGTTGTGTATAAAGTTGAAAAGTCGTAAGTTTTTAAGCTGCTGATTATGGTAAAATCTTCTGATTTCAAATTTTCCAGAAGTTCCTTGGAATTTTTAAGTATCCACATCTGATTTACACCACTTCTCGAATATATTGTTGCACAGTACTCTTGAAGTTTCTCCTTCACCACTGTTAATATTTTAGTGAGGAGTAAAGAAAGAGACTTGGTTGAACATTTCCTGGAACCCGCTATGTATCTTTGTTTGTAAGGATTTTTATGAAGTTTCGGAATCCAATATAGATATGGTAATTCAAATTCATACTGGTTGATTGGAATATTAAAAATATTCAAAACTGACATATGATTTTGAAGAATTTCTTCCTTAGAAAGGGAACTATGAGTATAAGTCGGGTTACCACTTGTAGAATTAAATCCAAGTTCCACTAAATATATTTAATATAATGAGCCTTACAAACAAAGACAATGTTGTTACCTTGACAGAAGGGACCAGTACGTACTAATCATGTAATCTATCTAATTCTTTTTTCACTTCTGGATTATTGATTACAGAAGGGTAGATAATAGATGGTTCACATATAAGATATGGATTTCTACGAAACGTTTGTTGGATATAATCTTTAAAACTGTGTCCTTGCCTTTTTAAAACAATGTATCGATGTATTGTGATGCAGAGAGTCGACCTGATACATTGCTAAATAAAATGAAGTTCTGATGTTTTTCCAGACACTTTCCGAAAGCATATAATGTACATAGTAAAGTCTTATAACAAGAGAAAACAGTAAGACGGAACTCATCTAATAGTTTATAATCCTTTATTGGATTTTTGATTTCATTTAAAAATCCTAAGTAGTGTAGATTTATTTTTACAAACTAAATATTTGAGAGATTCGAGATAATTTTGTCAAAATTTAAGAGGGAGCTCTCGCTCTTTTTTCCCATATACTAGTAGTCTTTTCAAGGAAGGCTGGAAACATCACATTTATAATTTGTCATGATGGAATCTTATACTGAACATATAGTAACAAATAATCAACATAGGGATGCCATACTTCCGCAATAATTTTGTTCAAATCTCAATCGAATTTGTATTGCATACTGAGTGTAAGAAAAGTTCTTGGGCAAATTAGAGGAGATGAGAAACAGTCTTTGAACCTCTTCAGACAACAACACGTTTGACGATTTGATCAAGCTTACAACGCATGCACCATAGACTACTTTCTATTTATCCCATGGATATTTTCCATACTAACAACAATAAAGTTCAAATTATTAGTTAGTCTTAAATAACTTATTACAAGGAATTTAAAGGTAATACACTTTTTGTTTGTTCGTTTTCAGTTTGGTTTTATCTATTTCAAAATTTAAAGAAAAACCATTATGATTACAAAAGGTTTGTGTAATGGTATATACTGTTTATTGGATCTGACAAGTGTTTCCGTTAGGCCGATAACAAGCCCGTGCAGAAAACGAGCAGCGGCAGAATAGTAAGGGTACCTGAGAAATTCAAAGACTTTGCAATGTAAAGACTTATTAGTATCAGACAATTATGCATACATATATCCAGTATAGTCCTGTGTAATCATATTTATATATATTCTCTTGTAAGAGGTTGTGGTAAAGACAACACTCCAACGGTAGGTCATATGCTTGAACCTCTGACTTCAAATTTTTTCTTGATAAAACTTTTGTTAATTTAATTGGTTTTTGCTAAGGCATATAATTTGTTTAAATTTGTAAATTCTAATCTCAAAGGGAAGGTGTAATGATATATCCTGTTTATTGGATCTGACAAGTGTTTCCGTTATAGACCACACGTGTTTGCTAACCTTGCAGTTTTATCCTGGGAAAGTTCTGATATTTCATTCATACTTGTAATTTGATAATGCCATGCCTTAGCCATCAGAATTCAGTCTGAGCTTGCTTGTCTTACTGTACGTACATAGTGTAAATAAAAGCATTCGATAAACGGCTATGTAGTGCCTTCATTTAATAATATAAAGTAAAACTACAACATGGTGTCAGAAGTAAAACTGGATTAATTAACGGATTAACAATGGCCGAAAGACTTCATCCACCTAGTCCATTGACTTTACATGGGAATTTAAAAGAAAATTGGAGACGTTTTCATCAGCAGTTTCAAATTTATTTGTCTGCGTCAGATATAAGTGAAAAAGGCAAGGAAATCCAGGCCAATACTTTATTACATATCATTGGACCTGATGCACTGGAAATTTACAATACATTCACCTCGGCTAGATCAGGGGATGAGAGAAAACTTGCTTAAATAATTGAGAAATTTACCTCGTACTGCAATCCAAAGAAAAATGCGGCTTATGAACGAAACATCTTTAATAGACGATGTCAAAATCCGGGTGAGAAAATAAATGCTTATGTGACGGAATTACGCATTCTAGCAAAATCGTGCGAATTTGGAGATTTACATGATTCCTTAATTCGTGACAGCATTGTGTGTGGAATCGCCAGTGACTCGGTAAGGAGAAGACTGCTGAGGGAATGCGACCTCACATTGGATAAAAAAATGGATATCTGCAGGGCGGCGGAAACGTCTTACAACCAAATGAAAACATTTGCGGAATCAAAACCCGCGGAACAGAAAATAGATGCGGTTAAGAAAGAAGGTGGGAAGAAATTCTGAATAAAACCGAAATAAAACAAAACCAGAATTGTAAAGAATGTGCAAAATCACATGCGTTGAAAAAATGCCCAGCTTACGGACAAACATGTCACGAATGCGAAAAACCGAATCATTACGCAAAAATGTGCCGATCTAAGAAGACAAAAAATAAGAAAATTTATGGTGTTGACCCAGAGTAAGATTGCGACAATGAATATGGGATAGAGACTGTGGAAAATACAGACGACACCCGAAGAAAGTGAACCACAACACTGAAAGTAGAAAACTCAAATGTCAAGTTCAAGATTGACACAGGTGCTCAGTGTATCATTATTCCAAAGAGCATGTGCAATAAATTGGGAATACGGAAACTACAGCAATCGCAAGCAAAGCTTGTATCATATATTGGTCACAAATTAAAAATATCTGGAAAAATTCTGTGCTCAGTGCAGCACAAGAATAAATATTACGCGCTGCAGTTTTACGTTGTACCGGGAAAAGTAGATCCCATATTAGGATTACCATCGTGTAAGGAAATGAACATCCTGAAGCTTATAGAGACAGTAAACGAATTTAGGACTGCAGAAGAAATTATCCGAGATTTCTCAGACGTATTCGATAGGATAGGATGTATGAGGGGCAGGCATCGTATTCATGTGGACAAAAATGTCCCCCCGGTTGTCCATGCACCGAGAAAAGTGTCATACAAAATGCGCGATAGATTAAAAGAGGAACTGGAAAGAATGGAGTCCTTAAATGTTATAGAAAGGGTAAATGAACCATCAGAATGGGTTAACTCACTGGTCATAGTAGAAAAACCGAATAGGGTAAGAATCTGTCTGGATCCCCGTGATCTTAATGAAGCAATTAAAAGAGAACATTATCCAATGAAAACCGTTGACGATATAACACATCAGCTTGCAGGGGCTAAAGTATTCAGTACTTTGGACGCATCCTCTGGATTTTGGGGTATTGTACTTGACCAGGAAAGCTCAAAGCTAACGATCTTTAATACGCCGTTTAGGAGGTATCGCTACAAACGAATGCCGTTTGGAATCTCATCTGCCCCAGAGGTATTCCAAAAAAGTTTCAAATCTTTGAAAAAACTGAAGGATGTGATGTCATAATGGATGACATTCTTATCTGGGGAAATTCCGTACAACAGCATAATGAAAGACTCGAGAGAGTTTTGAAAGCAGTGCGTCAAGAGAAAATAAAATTGAACAAAAAGAAGTGTAAAATACAAATGAATGAAGTTAAATATATGGGTCACATTTTTAGAGAAGATGGACTTAAAACGTGTCCTGACAGAATCAAAGCCATAAGCGAATTCCCAGAGCCTACAAATGTAAAAGAGTTGCAGAGATTTTTGGGAATGGTAAATTACGTAGGAAAAATTATACAAAACCAAGCCACGATCACAGAGCCTCTGAGGGAATTACTTGAAAAAACAGTTGCCTGGCACTGGCATGAAAAACAACAACAAAGTTTTGAACAGTTGAAGTCCGTGCTTGTCAGTGCTCCAGTACTAAAGTACTTTAATCCGGACGAAGAAATAACACTTTCAGTAGACGCGTCATCAACAGGACTAGGAGCCTGCATCTTACAAAACGGACAACCAATTGCCTATGCTTCTAGATCATTAAACAAATCGGAACGTAATTACACACAGAAAGAAAAGGAACTGTTAGCGATTGTGTTTGCTTGCAAGAAATTTCACCAGTACATATATGGTCAAAACATCAATGTAGAAAGTGACCACAAAACCCTTGAGAGTTTGTTCAAGAAAACGCTGTCATCGGCGCCACCGTGCATTCAGTGTATGATGATTAAAGTACAGCCATACGACCTAAATGTCAAATACAAACCTGGAAAATATCTGTACATTGCGGATTCCTTAAGCCGAGCAACTGAAGAATCAGAATCGGATCAGAAAGACAAGGATGAATTTAAAGTATTTACGGTTCGCTACTTGCCAATATCGGACAAAAAGGTAAACGAATTGGCAACAGAATCTGGGAAAGATAAAGAAATGAACGCTTTACAGAAGGTAATTCTGGAAGGCTGGCCAGACGATATTACAGAATGTAACTATTTCGTTAAGAAATAATGGAATTTTAGAGAGGAGCTCAGTCTTTACAATGGAATTATCACAAAAGGTCGCAGACTTGTTATTCCCTTGAAACTCAGAAGTGACATCCTGAATCAACTGCATTATGGACATATGGGAGCTGAGAAATGCAAATGTCGAGCCAGAGAAGTAGACATAAACAAGAAGGTTGCAGAGTGCAGAGTGTGCAACAAATACAAAAGGAAACAAACCAAACAACCGTTGAAACCACAATCGGTACACTAAGACCATGGCCGAAACTTGGACTCGACTTGTTTGAGCTAAACAGAAAATCGTTTCTTACTGTTGTGGACTATTTGTCAAAATTCCTCGAAATATGTGGACTGCAGAGCACAACTAGCTCCAGCATCATAAACAAACTAAAACCAATATTTGCTCGCCACGGGATACCAGAGGAACTGATAAGTGACAATGCGCCGAATCTCGTCAGTGACGAATTCCGGAGATTTGCAGCGGAATATGGATTTAAGCATACAACGTCGTCCCCGCATTACCCACAGAGAAATGGCATGGCAGAGCGTACAGTCCAGACTGTAAATAATATCCTGAAAAAATCAACTGAAGGTAAAACGGATCCAAACCTCGCGTTGTTACAGATGCGTAACACGCCGATAGATGGGGCAGGAACTCCCACTCAACTTTTGTTCGGACGCAGGACAAGATCCATATTACCGACACACGAGGCATTACTGAAACCACATATCAAGACCCGTAAAATTCGGACAGCTCTTGTAAACAAGCAGAATCAACAAAAAATTTATTATGACCGTAATGCACGGGATCTACCAAATCTAAAAGTCGGAGACAATGTTAACATTCAAACCGAAAACAAACCATGGAAGGAAGGAGTGATTGCACAAAAATGTCCTGAACCACGGTCATATGTCGTAGAATCCGAAGGCGTTGAGTACCGTAGAAATCAAAGGCATCTAATAAAGAACAGCGAAAATGGCAGACCTGGTGAAGAAATTAACACCGAGATCGAAAACGATAACCCTGCAGTAAATGACAACACGCAGGCCGATAACAAGCCCGTGCAGAAAACGCGCAGCGGCAGAATAGTAAGGGTACCTGAGAAATTCAAAGACTTTGCAATGTAAAGACTTATAAGTATCAGACAATTATGCATACATATATCCAGTGTAGTCCTGTGTAATCATATTTATATATATTCTCTTGTAAGAGGTTGTGGTAAAGACAACACTCCAACGGTAGGTCTGACTTCAAATTTTTTCTTGATAAAACTTTTGTTAATTTAATTGGTTTTTGCTAAGGCATATAATTTGTTTAAATTTGTAAATTCTAATCTCAAAGGGAAGGTGTAATGATATATCCTGTTTATTGGATCTGACAAGTGTTTCCGTTATAGACCACACGTGTTTGCTAACCTTGCAGTTTTATCCTGGGAAAGTTCTGATATTTCATTCATACTTGTAATTTGATAATGCCATGCCTTAGCAATCAGAATTCAGTCTGAGCTTGCTTGTCTTACTGTATGTACATAGTGTAAATAAAAGCATTCGATAAACGGCTATGTAGTGCCTTCATTTAATAATATAAAGTAAAACTACAACAGTTTGCATAATCCCCCTGTGTTTATATGTGTTAAATATGACGTATTGCTGTGCTTATAAACTACTAAAGTTACATTTCTTACAAACAAATGAAATAAACACTTCACTGAATCGAAGTACAATAGATATACAACAAGAAGTAGAAGGAAAAGGACAGAATCATGATAGAAAGATAGAACCAGGAGGAATATTTTACATAAATATGAATGTTTACACTTGACAATATCTTAATGCCTTTTATAATCATTCTTGTTCATAAGCAAACCATATATAAATACTTGAATTTGGTCTGTCTGGTAGGGTTGTTTATTGGACACAATCAGTAAATTATCGATATAAAAGATCTTGACCTGATTTTTAATTTCTATAAATTGATGGCAGTAAGATGCTTTTGTCGTTTCATTCCAAAATAGCTTTACATAGATAAGAAAAATAAAGAGGTTTAAATAATAATTTTGAAAAACATACAAGGATAATATGCAAAATATTTTTGAACAAAAATAAATAAACTTTACATGTTTTTTTCATATCTTAACTTCCACCGTCTGGACAAACAATAACCAGTTATAAAATCTAGAAGATTACTATATAGCTGAGTCAATTTGTGAGAAATTTAAGCAAAAATTAATGTGTATTCGGTGACTCAATTCCGTCTCACCTTGTATGGATAATTTTCCTTGTCCTTTTCAGCCCCGGCTTTTTCTTTTCTTTTTATTGTGGTGACGGAATGGTTTGTAACAGAAAGGTCTGAGACCAAATCTTAGCCAGGTCATATCTCTGGCTTCTTATAATGAAGGGGATTTGGTCAATACTATTTATAATTTTTGTTGAGATTAAATGATTCTTAAATGATTTTTGAAATACAATATTTCTTCAACGAAGTTTTTATTTTATTAAAACAGACTGATAAATATTAAGTTCAAGTTATTCTGTTTGGTAATATGTAACTTGTTCGATTTTTTCATAAAGAATTAGTCAGGAACAACACTGGTACTTAGAGGCATGTGAATAAAGGACGCTCACAGATTCGGTAAAACAACCTAATCAAACTCTTTTAAGACTGCATTGTTTGTTTTAATATGCATGAAAAATAACAATTACAAAATCGTAAGACTTCTTTATTTTAAAAAATAAAGTCGCCTAAAAATATAAATCCGAAGTAAATACATGTACATTACTTATTAGTAAGAATAAAATGTTCGAAAATTGGGTTTGTAGCAACCGATGATAAGGTTGAGGAGCTTAATATTTTTGATATTCAGTACATATAGCCCTACAGACAAATGTCATTCAATTGATTTAATAACATGAAAAAGTGTTTGTATTTATTTTTTTTTTCTGATATGGAAGAAAACTTTCTAATTACTTATAAAGAAAAAGAAGATAAATCAAAGAAATCTCACAAAAGGTAAGAGAAGGAAGAATGTAGGTGAATGAAATGTACAATTGAGACTATATACTACATCACATCCTTGTTAATTACATGTTTTATTTTCTTCCTCGTGAACAACTTAATATATTATATAAGAGAAGAGCAGAAGGAAGGAATGCTGTTGCTTTGTATTTCAAAAATTCAGCTGCTCATTGCATATCGTTCAAAGAACAAGGCTTTTATCGAACTTTGGAACTGTAATTGAAATTGTGTCTACGTTATTTGGCTTAGAAAGTGAAAGATGTGTAAATTCAAGCTTATGTGCCTTATTTCATTTGGGATGTTATGTTTCATAGAAGGTAAGACACAGTGTGATTTCAGTGATTTCACCATGAATCTGACACTTAAAGTTGAAAGCATATACTAAATATAGTGGCTTCTTGTGAAGAGAAATTAAAAGATGGAATAAATCACATTTTTTATGGATACAGTAATTGATATAATAACATAGGAGAATATAATGTCAATATATAAAAGTCTAAAAACGCGTCACAAGTTATTCATATTTTAAACACAACATAACAAAGTTCATATATAATCAATTATATGAATCTTTTTGTATATGGATGTGTATTCATTAGAAAATGTTTCGTGTTTTTGTGTCGGTCCAGAGGATAATGAAAAAAATCTAGAATAGGAAAGACATAGGTAAATCGAAATGTGAAGTGTTGATATGGATACCTTTAACAGAGACAGATATATCTGTGCTCAAATAATTTACTTTCTTATTCCTGAGGAGAATATTCTTACTCTGTGTTGTAAAAGATTTGTAAACTTTTTTTTTGCAAAACACATACAATGTGATTTGTGTGGAGCAATCTATTATATTAGTGATTGGTTCATAATGACAGTTTTGGGCATGAACTTTTTTGTAACACTTAGTAATAAACTAGGGATTATTCCAGTTAACTATTCTGTATTAAGATAAGCCTATTACTATTGTTTAAACACAGCTTTAAAACAGAACTAACTTCAGAAGCAGTTTGATCA